GCAGCGTGAGCGCAAAGCTGACGGTGTGAGCAAAAGACTGATCAGAGAGAAAGCAGCAGAGGGAGCTGTAAACAAAATGACTGATTATCAAAAAAGCAAAAAGACCAACAGTTTTTTTGCAAGCTATATGATTTACTTAATTAAGTAAATTAAGATAAAAGTTTTTTCTTCAGTTAGTTTTATTCTCTCTCAAATTCTCATTTATTGTTTGATTTAAGGAGTTTTGTTTGACTAAACTGGTGATATGATTCCATAAGCACCGCGTTATGTGCAACTCCCAAAAAAGATGAATAGAAGTGAGATGCTTCACTCTAAAACAGAGAGTCAGCACACAAAGAATCAGAATCAGAAGGAGCTTTATTGCCAAGTAGTGTTTTACACATACGAGGAATTTGCTTTGGTGTTGAGGTGCTACACGTAGACAAACACAAGTTGACATAAATAAATGTAGAAATATATTAATAAGGAAAAATTTAATGCAAGTTATATAAGAATAATAAAAGAATAGAGAAATATAATACAACTATTTGCAGAGAAGAACAATGTGGCAGATATTTAAATGTACATTAGTCCAGTTGTGCAGACGTATTGCAGTGGAAGAGAATATTGTGGACATACATATATAAATCGACAATATAAAAATATAGAACTACTATTAACAACAAATACTGTATGTTCAATGTGCCAGGTTGGTGCATGATATGAAATGAAATAGTATTTACATGTTCAGAGACATGGGCATTATTTGAAAAGGGGGGAGTGTCAGTGGGGGACCAGGGGCTTGTTAATGAGGCTGCAGACAGGAAGAAACTGTTTTTGTGGCGAGAGGTTTTGGTCCTGATGGACCGCAGCCTCCTGCCAGAGGGGAGAGTCTGAAACAGTTTGTGGGAGGGGTCAGCTGCAATCTTTCCTGCTCGCCTCAGAGTCCTGGAGGCGTGGTGTCGTCGGCAAACTTCAGGAGCTTGACAGACTGGTGACTGGAGGTGCAGCTGTTGTTATAAAGGGAGAAGAGAAGGTGGGGGGGGGGGGGGGACGCAGTCTTGAGGGGATCCGGTGCTGATGGTCCTGGAATCAGAGAGATGTTTTCCCAGCTTCACGTGCTGCTTCCTGTCAGTCAGGAAGTCAGTGATCCACCTGCAGGTGGAGTCAGGCACGCTCAACTCAACTGCTCAACTTGTCCTGCAGCAGGGCCGGGATGATGGTGTTGAAAGCAGAGCTGAAATCCACAAACAGGATCCTGGCGTAGGTTCCTGGTGAGTCCAGGTGCTGGAGGATGTAGTGAAGGACCATGTTTACTGCATCGCCTACAAACCTGTTGGCTCTGTGGGCGAACTGCAGGGGGTCCAGGAGTGGGTCTGTGATGGATTTGAGGTGGGACAACACAAGGAACTCAAAAGACCACAGAGGTCAGGGCGACGGGCCTGTGGTTCTTGTTTTTTGGGGATAGGGATGATGGTGAAGGCTTTGAAGCGGGCCGGCACATGGCATGTCTCCAGTGAGGTGTTAAAAATGTCTGTGAACACCGGAGACAGCTGATCAGCACAGTGCGTGGGGAGACAGAGTCCGGCCCAGCTGGTTTCTGCCTCCTGAATAGTCTGTTGACATCCCTCTCTGAGATAGAGATGGGGGATTCAGCCCTGACCCACCATTCCCACCATTTCACCCTCTCCCTCCAGAAGTGGCGTCATTTGCAGAGAACTGGGGCCGTATTACAGAAAGTTCCTATCTTATGTTAAGACAGGAAGAGTCTAAGATAGGATTTTTCCCAATTTGGTATTACAGAAGCAAATCCTAACTAACTTTAGGAATCCTATCTTATCTATTTTATCTCAGGTTTGGAAATCCTAAATACTCAAACCAACATCGGTTATCAACTTTTATGTCTGTTACCTACCAACCCATGCCACTTTTCTCATCTCGCGAGCTAAACAGCTTTTAATCGTATTTCTTGAATTTAACAATCTCCTATCAAAGACTTGCATTACGATGGGCTACTTTTGGTACATCAAGCGTGTTACATAATAATGAGACATTATATAGCGTTACATCCCCCACACATCAATTAATAAGTTCTGTTGATATTTTGTTGATTTTGTAAAAGCAATTAAAGAGCAGCCATGTGGATTAAACAAGTTATTAAACACTACCTGGTGGAAAAGTAAAAGTTAGGACAGCTACAGTTATCCTAAAGTTAGGAGAGCTTATTTTGGATCTTATGAAGTTAGGATGCTTCTTTAATACACTTTTCCTATCTTAAGTTAGGAAGTGAACATTGACTCAGGAACCCTTAACTTGGGAATCCTAACCCGTATTACCATGGTTACCAAGCAGTTAGGATAGGATAGGTTAGGAACTTTCTGTAATACGGCCCTTAGAAATGATGACACAGCCGCTCACGCTCTGCTCTCTGATTGGGTCTTGCAAAGCAGAAACACGATGCTGCTGACCGGGTTTTTGACATCGTATTTTTATTAAAATATTCTGTACCGTGCAAATAACACTCATCTGCCTACACTTGTACTGTGCATGTCGCCGTTTACTTTGCAATGATTCCCAGTCTGTTTTCCGCCGCCACACTCCCGTGTTACATTCAGTAACAGTCCCAGCTCGTTATTGGTGCATGCAACAACAAAAAAAACTGGGCTGATGCTTAGTCTGTATTTATTTATTTGTTCGCCAAATCTTCTGCAACTACAGAAGAGACCATCTGCTTCATGTTTACACCGGCACACGCGTGCCCAGCGTACCTGAACGGGTCCTAGCTGTGCTCTTTCAGTCGTTTTAATGTAGACAGAGATCAACTCCAAAACATAGCTGGTGTGGACGGAGATCGTATTCGTTTTAATTCTCTGTTTGTAAACTAAAACGGAGTAGTGTGGATGGGACCTAAGTCTCTCTGAGTACAGGCGTTTAGCTTCTCACACCTACTTGCTAAACCTGTCCGGCCCTGTCCCGACTCCTGAATGCCTTCTCCTCCTAGTGAAAAAGTGAAAAGACGTACTGCAGCATGATTTAACCATGTAGAACTGTTCTGGTTCAACCTCTAAACATAACCATGAACCTTAAAATGAGCATAATATGGCCTCTTTAAGATCTGAGTACTTCTTCCACCACTAGCTGTAGAAATTTATTTGCCTTACTTGGCCGGTCTTTGGACGCACACAAGTTCTGACCTGTCGGCAAGTCAAACGTTTCAGGTATGTAGGATGAGCAGGTCTCAACTCTGAGTGTCACCCAGGTGATCAAAAGGTGACAGTTCAGTTCAGGTAACATTCCAGCCACATTCTAACCAAACCTGAAAAACACCACACTGATGGTGCATCTGATTCAATGCAGAAGAACAAGTCCTGCATAGTCAGCAACCTAAATGGAATCAGATTGTAACCCTCACATGTTGGAAAGCCTGAAACAGAAAACATTTTTTTAAAGAAATCAATTGAAAGCAACACGTGCGTATTTTCTGAGATTTAACATGGTAAATAATTTAACGTGTTTTTTTTTTGTGAGAATGATGATTACATTAGCCAAAAATTGCCAAACAATCTCACCACAAAGTCCATTTACTAGCTCCTGTGGAGCCATTGATAATCCCAAAGTTACGGTCTTGACTGGTCTTGAAATAAAATGAAAACCGGGGACATTTTTGGTTTGGTAGTCAGTAAGTCATTAAAAAATATAATGTTATTATATATGAAATTAAAAAAGGGGGGACAATTTCAGTTTTATAGTCTGTTAAATGTAACTCTTCTGAATGAAATCAGTTCATTTTGAGGCAGAAACTACCTTTCAGTCAGAGTTGTATTGGCCATTTCAACAGGTAAAAAGGACTGGATTGGTTGGTACACATCAAGTTAAATAATGTAGAGTCATAAGGATCATTGCAAAAGAGATCTTGTCTTTATTTTATATATAACTCAGCAGTAAGTCATGTTAATTATAGGCTACAGTCTGTTTTCCAAATATAAACAAGGATATTAGACATTTACGCCTACCAAACATATTCCATCGGCAACAACAGGCTTCTATTATTGCCTACAATCACGTAAATTTCATGCCAGGCCACAATTGTGATTCTTCCCTTAAAAGAAACGTTAAAGTATCAGAAAAACATACTTTTGCTATCATCACGCTCCCGCAGACGGCAGTCACTTTTCGGCAGGACACCTGTGTGCTCTGCTGTCCAGTCTTTCTGGCCACGTAAAAAAACTGATTACAGGTCAGTTAACACCTTAAACAGTCTATGATTAACACACAGTTAAAAACGGGGACATCTGGTCACCCTATCAAAAAGTGGTATTAAGCCCGGTCTCGAGTGCTACTGCACTAATTCTGGATGTTCAATTTTCCATTTTTCTGACCATCTGTGTTGACTTAAAAGTGGAAAATAAGGAAGGGAAGATAATGATTAAAAGCTCTAGAACAGCTACTAAATAGACTTTGTCCAAAGCGGTTTCCGAACTCGGGAATGAACTCTCACTCTCAAAGCTCTTTGATTTTTAAATATTTGGACACACAAGTAGAGTTTTCCTCAACTTCCCTTCAAGATATTACCAGTATTATATTACATTACAATGATCATATCGCCTGTAAGCTGTGTTAAAGGTTTTCTCGCCTACCCAGTCAGACATAAAAGCATGTTTGGAGAGAAACTGGTGACAGGTGTCCTTAAACACGACCCAACAGCTCAGGCTTTACTATAACTGACGCCTTCCTCCACTTCTCTTCTAACGAGGTGAAATTAAGTCGGATTAAAGAGTTAATGAAACCACATGACCTTGTTGGATAATCCCTTGAAAGTGACCAAAACATTCTTTTCCAGACTAAATTAAATTAGTTTTATATTCACCTGCACCAGTGAGTCCACATACTGACACACACTCCTCCCTCTCAAAACTCTTAAACCGGTCCTGCAACTTTTTTTTTTTTACTTCCTCCGTTGTGTTGTGCATGCCTTTGAGACACATTTTCTAGATCTGATCTAACCATGTTTCTCACGCAAGGAAATCCGAGTCTATAAGAGCCCGCGGTGCAGCCAGGAACCAGTTCTACAGTGCAGACGGATCCAGCAGATGAACATCATGGGTAAAACTACACTCATTTATTGTTTTCACCTATAAATCTGTTTCTATACTGCTGCTGCTGCTGCTGCACACAAACCAAAGTCTGCACAGATTTTGCTATAGAAGTTGGTAGCAAATTAACTTTTCTAAAACTATAATATTGCAGCTGCTGCTTTGACATACAAACCAAAGTGTTTTTTTTTTTGAGCCATTTAATTTCACAAATATAGTAAACAAATAGCAAGTAAGTAAGTAAGTATAACTAGTTTATTTGTTTTTTGTTTAAATTAAATGTCAAACGCAGCTAAAACCTATACACACACTTTTATCAGGAGCCAATCACCTCAATTTCAGGGTTTTTATCAGGGTATTTTTTTCTTTCACAATTTAGGACTAATTACTATTTATTAACTATAATATCATTGCTGCTGCTGCTGCTGCTGCTGCTTTGGCACTCAAAGTTCAGCATTTAGCATTGTGTAGCTGATTGGTATCTTATTTGCAGATGTCAGGGCTTGTTTTTGTCTTAAAAAAAAATGCTACTTGTTGTTTCTCACTGGGCTCTAAAATATTATGAAAACACAAAATGGCACAACCAAAAGAAGTTGTAACAAATGGTTTTATCATTTATTAATGCTTTTACATCAGTTGTAAACTTTACATCATAACAGCCTTGGTGTTTCAGGTTGTTTGTAAAGCTGGTGTTTATCCTCCTTCAGCATGTGGAGCGAAATTATTCATTAATTCAAGGTTCAAAGTAGAATTGTTTTTTATCATTCTTTCATCATTATATATAATACTCTCTTTTTTATTTTACTAATATTAAATTTACAATTGCTGCATGATGAATTGTAAAAACATTTCACTACATTTTGTGAATGACATTTGATTCTGGAGAATTGATTGTTTATTAGAAATGTTCAGCTCCTTATGCTTTTTTAAGGACTTCTTAACATTTATAACTGCAGACCTTTTGGCTGATCTGTAGAATTATTATAAAGTTGAAGCAATCAATTTTTATTATACTGCTACTATATTGTCAAAAGAAGGTTTTTACAACATAAGATGGATTATAGCCAATCTATAAAGCATTAGTAATTCATTTTTAATTATAGCAGCAGTGTAATGTTGGTCGATCCATCACTCTGGTCCAAACTGAAATATCTACAATGATTGGATGGACTGGATGGTTATGAAGATATACTTGTTACGGTCACGATGAATTGTAATAACTTTAATGATCCTTTTCATGTAGCGCCATCAACAGGTCAACACCTCAGTGTGTTCAATACTTTGGTTTGTGATCAAATGCCTGAAAAGCTAGACATTTCAGCCTCAGCTGTACTTTGTGCTTAGTGCTAATTAGCAAATGCTATCATGCTAATACTCCAAACTAAGATAGTAAACATGCTAAATACTATGCGTGCTATGTTAGCAGCATGTTAGCATTGTCACTGTTAGCATACTGACGTTAGCATTATCAAAGCATCCCTGTATCTAGAAGTACAGCCTTACAGAGCTGTTAGCATGGCCGTTAGCTTCAAATCTTTTATAAAGGGTGATTTATTAGAAAGTAGTATTAAAAGGTACCTTGTAAAATAGTTTTTCCTTAATAACAAATGCTTTATTTTAACATACATCTTGTACTGTGTGTGTGTGTGTGTGTGTGACAGCTCAGAAGACTGTTCTGATCGTGTTCGCCCACCAGAGTTCGGGTTCATTTAATGCGGCGGCGCGTGACATAGCAGTGCAGGAGCTGACAGAGCAGGGCTACAAGGTTGTCGTGTCCGACCTGTACGCCATGAACTTCAAAGCCAGCGCCACACAGGACGACATCATCGGTGAGCTCTCTTACTCCCTCTCTGTTAACAAATGTGTTATTCAGTGAGCAGAAAAATTGATACGTCAGGATTTCAGAACCTGGAGAGACAGATTCAAGTTTTCACGACATCAAAATAAGTTTTGACAACATAGGTTGTTTATGCATGTTTAACGACACAGGTTGACACAGGTTGACACAGGTTGGCACAGGTTGGCACAGGTTTTGGACCCAAACGCAGACACAGAGATGGTACTGGTGAGTTGGTGAGGTTTATTGCACAAACGGTGAAACTTGCAGGCGGTGTGGAGTGAGCAGTCCCAAAAAACACAAAGCACGAAAAAACCAAAACTCAAAGAGGTGATAAATCCACACAAGAAACACTGAAACACTAGAAACACACAAAAAATCAACAGTAACAAAATCCACAATGAACTGGCAACAACTGAAACAAACACAGGAAGTGAAACATGGCAAGAAACACTAGGAGCAGACTAACTACAAACTAAAACAGGAAGTAAAGCTAATCCAATCCAAACTCGTGACAGAGTGTTTACTATGTTACCTAAGTCACGTGACCTTTGCACATGACATAAAACACGTGGCTAACGTGAAACGGTTGCAGTTTGGTTCGGTTTGGGCAATAAAAACTACGTGGTTAGGAAAACACTGTGGTGTGGATTGTGTAAGTCATGTGACAGAAGTTAATAACATCATTTAAGTTAAAACTCAACATTTACGTTTCACATGGAACTCGAACGGGATTCTCCTGAGTGAAAGTCCAGGATTTCCCCCATCCAACCTCCCATCTCTACTCACGGTGATGACGACACCGCGGCACTATGAAACATTATTTTCATGCCAGGGCGTTTATTTTTTTTGCTGCGTCGCAGAATGCACATCCTCCAGCTTAGCAATCTTGCGCACACACTGAGGTCAAAGTTCAACATCATTCAACACAGCGCAAATCATATCTTATCTAAAACTGTTGTACGGCCACTTGAGGGCGCGGCCACAATAATACTTACTATATTTATTGCTTTCATTTTTATGTAATTTCCTAAAACAGCTGCTCACTGCAGTTCTTAGAAAAAGTTACTCAAACATAAGTCAATGATGCATTTGTTGGGGACTATTTTCAGCGGCGAATGAATCTACATGTGATGCTCTGGTGAGTTTTTGAGGCAGCAGGACGGTGTATGTGGGATTGAGTCAGATTAAGAAGGACCATATCAGCCAGTGCAGCAGTGAGGCTCACTGATGTGCTTTTAATAATTTCTGGACAACAAAGGAGGAAGAGGAGACATCAGGCTGTGAGACACACAGGACTTGTTAGCAGATACATATTCAGTGTTGGTCTTTTTATGAGATTAGTTATAGATAAATATAGAATATCACCAGAGTTGTGTTTAGATTCTGTGTGTTGTGTGCAGGCGACCTGAACAAGCCAGAGCTTTTCCAGTATGGAGACGAGACGATGCGCGCCTGGCAGGAGGGCCGCCTCACTGACGACATCGTAGCCGAGCAGCGCAAAGTAGAAGAGGCCGAGTTAATCATCTTCCAGGTCAGAGGTCACTCACATCAGATTGGTCACCAAAGTCCATTCAGTTCCTACAGAGCTGAGGGACAGTTGTTATCCAGACATTTCAGAGAGCCTAAGTCCCCTCCCTTTACGTCGGACCACCATGGGACCTAATTTTGGAAAACATATGTTTTGTCGTCAACTGCGAGAGACGGCTGATTTTTTTTTTGATCCTGTTTGAATTGTGACCTGAATTACACATAGACGTTTGTCACTTTAAAAATACTTTTGCAAGTCAAGAAAGTCGCAGCTTGTCGTAAAACTGTCAATATAAGACTGTGAAAATACGTAATTACAAAGACCACAAACCCAACTATATGTGACGTCATGTATAAATACGATTTTAGGATGCCTTCTTCTAATTCCAGAGAGGATAGATTCAAATTTGCTTTTCTTGGCTAAACCTATAGGATTACATGTGAAATTCATGTGGTTTTTCGGATAATTTAAATCAATCAATCGGGTTATTTTCATTCTGCCATAAAATAAAATATTCATAACACACACATGCATAAATAAGGGTTGGAAACATAAAACACATTTAAGTGAGTATGAGATGTGTACAAGTGAAGGCAAATAAAGAAACTAAAATAAAATAAAACAATAAAAGCATAAACATAAGTGTCTCTTCTTGCAGTTTCCTGTGTACTGGTTCAGCGTTCCTGCCATCCTGAAGGGCTGGATAGACCGGGTTCTGACACAAGGCTTCGCGTTCTCCCTGAAAAACATGTACAATAATGGTATATTCAAGGTCAGTCTCTCTAAATAAATGTCTTTAACCAGCACAAAACGATTTATTAAATAGCATTTATTTTGCATTTATAGGCAGTATATAAGATTTAATCAACAGTTTATAACACATTAAAGTTGATATTAGTATTGTGTTCATGTTTATTACTGTAGAGTATCTCCCTGCAAATATGTCTTCTTATATCTTCTCCTGTAAAGAAATACTTTATATTATTGCACCTCTATTTTTACCATATTAGAATGTAGTAGCAGCCTCTATTTATGGGTGTCCACAGGATTATTATTATTATTATAAAAGACATTAATAAACACTTGAATCTGCTGTTGTTTATTTTATTAAATGTATACCGGTAGTTATTAAATGTTGTTTATTAACGCTAAATAGGAGCACTTAAAGTAAAATTGTGAGAAATGTGAGATTAATTAAAACTCCTTTCTCCATTTTAACGACATGATATCCTGCAGGCAACCGCTCCACAAAGGCAAAACCGCAGTAAATAGCCTACATATTTGGTCAAAGTTGAATTATAAAGTGTATCTGACCTTCTGACATCTGTTTTAAAGTATGTCATAGTCCTGTAAAAACTGCTTTTAGAATTTAGAAGCAAGTAAGAAAAACACAACATCTGTGTATCACGGCATTCTGGCTGTGCAACAGTTTTGTTCCACTGGTTCCTCTCATCATGTTGGATAACAGGTGTCTTTTTGTGTTTCCTTGAAGGATAAGAAAGCAATGTTGTCCTTCACTACTGGAGCAACACAGTCGATGTTCAAGCCTGACGGGATCAACGGAGACATCAACGTCACGCTGTGGCCTCTGCAGGTGAGCGACATATGTGCATCATAGCAAACACAACACCATCATTACTATTAATCATTTATTTATAGAGCACTTTTCAAGAAGGATAGACCACAGAATACACCGATCAGCCATAACATTATGACCACTGATAGGTGAAGGGAATAACACTGATTATTTCATCACCATGGCCCACAATATAGTGCGATACAATACAAAAAAACACTAACAGCCTCTGACCTGATGACCTAAGACTACAGGTGGGAGGATGAAGCTGTATGAAGTCAGCGATGTAAGGAGGAGTTTGTCTGTGGGAGGCTTTAAAAGTCAGAATCTGAATTTTTCAATTAATTTTTAACTGGTAGTAAAAGTATAATCAGGACAAAGTAAGACTTAAAGTATTAAAAAGAAAGGTACTCAATGCAGAAAAACATCCTTGTGACTGTTGTTCTTTATTCATATATATATTACTCATGCAATAATGTAAAAGCAGGATTTTACTGTTACTTTTTTCATTACGGATTGATCCACTAATTATTTTCTCCATTAATCGATTGTAAACATTCTGTAAATAGTGAGAAAGGTTGTCAATTACCCAGAGCCCAAAGTGTCTCTGTCTAAACCTCAAAATAATTTTTAAACATATATTAAATTAATCAAAAGGAAAAGCAGCAAATCTTCACATTTGTGAAGCTAAAATGATTTTACATGAAAAATTGTAAATTTATAACAAAACGTCATATTATTTAAACTCTTTATATGTTTTGTGTGCAAAAATCTTACTTTGTAAAGTAACCGAAGCTGTCAGATAAATGTAGTGAAGTCAAAAACACAATATCTCCCTCTGAGATGTGGTGAAGTAGAAGAAGGAAGAACATAAAATACTCAAGTAAAGTACAAATACGTCTAATTTGTACTTAAATACAGTACTTGAGTAAATGTACTCAGTTACTGTCCACCACTGCCTGTCGCCATCTGTACACCATCTAATGAAGGCAAAACGCTGTAGAAATAATGATTCTGTGTTGGTGGACGGTTGTTAACGTGTCTCTCTCTGGTTCATTTGTATTTCTTTCAGAACGGCACTCTGCACTTCTGTGGATTTCAGGTTCTCGCTCCTCAGATATTCTGGAGTCCGGCTCACTCCCCCCCATCGGCGAGAACCGCAATGCTGGACGGGTGGCGAGCTCGATTGAAAGGACTGTTGGCAGAAAACCCTTTGAGCTTCGCCCGCACTGAGCTCTTTGACCTCAGCTTCCAGGGCGGGTTTGCGCTGCGGCCCGAGGTGAAGGAGCAGCAAGAGTCGCAGCCCTACGGCCTCACCACAGGACACCATCTGGGGAAGCCGCTGCCCCCTGACAACCAGATCAAAGCTCCCCCGTCCGATGAAAGTGCCTAACCAGACGGGAAACCTTCTCTTCACTAATGAACCTTGAAACTCATCCATATATGTAACAAGGTCACTTTAATAACAAAATACAGGATTTTATTAATACTTTGTTTACTGAAGCTGAAATAAAACTATTTATAACAATGACTTCAACTTATTTTGATTTAGATGCAACTAAATATTTTTCATTTGCAAACCAAACTGAGACTAAAGTTGTGTGTGCAAGTTGTGTAAAGTACATTTATTCAAGCACCTAAATACTTTTATAGGTACCTAAGTACTTTTAAGTTTGATATTCAAGTACATTTTTGCTTATAATACTTGTGTACTTTTACTTCAGTCATATTTTTGCATGGTATTACACAGGAATCTGACTACTTCGACCACTAGAAGAAGTACTTTCCTATAGTTCTGTGTATTCTGTACACATGACATGTATTGTTCTTCCTGCTTTGTTGCTTGTCCTGAAGTTTTCCTTCTAAAGGTTTTTCCTTCCTTCCTTAATTTGAACCGAAGGTCTAAGGGTAGAGAGTGTTTCTACAGATTGCAAAGAGCTATGAGGCAAATTTATTGGCTTTGTAAATTAAACTGACATGAGAAGTGCTCAAATGACATTTAAACAATTAGTCAAAATCAGCAACAGTTCTGATAATCGAAGGATCTTTTTTTCAGGCATTTAGCAATGAAAAATACATAAGCAACAGTTTCTGGTTTCAGCTTCTCCAACGTGACCATTTGATGCTTCTCTGTTTAAATTTAAAGAAACCATATATACAAATATTTAAAACTGGAATACATACTGGGCCTCCTCCTACCACGTTCTGTGCAACTTTTATACCCTGTCAAGTTCCCATTAAATCCAAATCCGCTTTATTGCCAAGTAGATCTACACCTATAAGGAATGTGCTTTTGGTGCATAACAACAAACATAGAAAATATGAGAATCATAGAGCAAGTACTGCAGGTCAAGAATAATAAATATATAAAATTGACAATAAGATATGAAGTATCTCACAAAAGTGAGTACACCGCTCACATTTTTGTAAATATTGGATTATATCTTTTCATGTGGCTGAAGAAAGGACACTTTGCTACAGTGTAAAGTAGTGAGTGTGCAGCTTGTATAACAGTCTAAATTTGCTGTCCCCTCAAAATAACACATCACACAGCCATTAATGTGTAAACCGCTGGCAACAAAAGTGAGTCTCTATTCATTAAACTTACACAAAATTTCCAGTTAAACTGAGGCTTTTTGATGACCCTTTTCTCTCTCTCTCTCTTTCTCGCCTGTCATTCACCGGTCTCGTGCAGAGTTTTGCGTGCATGCCGTGCGTGCATGCCGTGCTGCTGACAACTGCATGCACGTCGCGGTTCCTCTTGGGTCTATTTAAAGTAAAACGATATAATATTCTTGGTGTGGTTCATCAACGGTGATAAATTATCCGAAAGTCCCGCGAGGTGCGGACAACTCGGCACAACACCAGTGAAGCTGGGGCTCCGTCTCTTCAGCAAGTTTCCTCCACTGCCACTTCACACCTACACGCTACGCCTACACATGCGCACTGACGACCCAGGGTTAGGGTTACAATTTTGATTACGATTTATTCACGCACTTTAAAAAGCATTTATTGAAAGTTTTATTCATTTTACATGTTTATTTACAGCATTAAATATTGAAATTTACATGTACATTTATTCATTTTTAGCTGACGCTTTTATCCAAAGCGATTTTTAATTGCTATATATGTCAGAGGTCGCACGCCTCTGGAGCAACGAGGGGTTAAGTGTCTTGCTCAGGGACACATTGGTGTCTCACAGTGGATTTGAACCCATAATATTGTAATAGGCTGTATCTCATTGGGAGAAAACTGGTAGTTCTTTGTAAAATGAGATCCTCATTTAAAACATGATCCTCGTTTCACTGCGTAGCTTTGACTGTGAGATTGACAGTCGAATCAGGCAAAGCATCGAATCTTCAACTATTCGGGGTCAGCCCTACAATAAAGGTCTTCAAACCAGAGCCCTTTAAAGAGATAGTCATCCCCCTTCACTCCAATGGACCAGTTTTTCACAGAAATGGCGGATCATGGAGCGTCTGAATAGTTCCAGGAAGTTAGTGTCAAGCTGCAATACAAAATGATATTTGGGATGCACGTTTAAAAGGTAAGACTTGTAAAAAATGAGATTATATATTATAAGCACAACTGAATCAAGTTAACATGTGCATTAAAGCATGTTAGTGGATTTCCCCCACTAAATTAGAAGATTTAGGGACATTAACGGTTAACTTATTAACAAACAAATTATGATACTGGCATTGGATAAAGTTAGCAACACATAATATAAACAGGGGCAGCCTATTCATTTATTTTAAAATACGTATTTTTTGGGGGGGGAGTAAGTGGAGTGAAGTAACTTCTCTCAGTGTCTGCATCCCTTCTTTCTTCCCTTCTTAGCTTATGAGCTGATTTTCCACACAACAATTCAGGTTTATTTTCAACTTTTCTTGGATAACCATGACCTGGCTGTGTGAACAGCTGTGTAGGTTTGTCTAACCCCTTCTCTTGGTCTCCCTCTCTCAGTGCAAGAATCACGGGGGGTTCGGTGGAGCCTGAAGATGATCTGCAGTGATGTTTTTAAAAAACCAAACATAAGGCCAGTGAGTGATGTGTTCTTTCTTGTTGAAAAAGTACCTCACATATTTTTTTGTATCATATTTTTATTCTTTAGTGATTGTAAGGTTGCTCCTGTTGACATGAGTCAACCATTTTTTCCTCCTCTCCATGTCAGCTGGGAAACCAAACATTCGTTCTCCTTTTCATCTCCACACAGCACAATAAACCGTGCTGTAGACTATTGTAAGACAGTACACACCACTTAACATGCTGTTTTCTGAGTTTATTGGAGATTTATTACATTAATACATGACAACCATTAATAGTCACCTGTCTGTTCTACCTGAAGTCATAAAGATTACATTACAATTAGCCATGGGATTACTAAAAGGAATGTTAGAAAGGTAAATCTGATTATGAACGTGTTTCAAGAGGAACACACTTTCCAATGTAAGGTTAGCCAAAAAATGTCCACAAGGTAGGTGATTGTAGCTGTTATTGTCAAAAATATATGTGCTACTTTAAAAAAAAAATAAAAAAAAATAGTAATGTATCTACATACACGTGTCAGTGTGCTGTACAAATATTGTAAATCAATGCATTTACTGTATAAATTACCAAAAATCGCTTTAAATTTAACTTCTGCAGTCTCTGCAAGACAAGGCAACGTTTGCCTTAGTTGATTTTGTATTTTAGTGGTGCTAATTCCCAAACAAATTTACAATAAAATAAATGACCCAAACAGTTATTTTTATTTTTCATTGAATGATCAGACAAATAATCTGCATATTAATACATAATAATGAAAGTAACGGTTGGTTGCAGCAGCATTTAACAATGTCACGCTACTGTTGGATTTGGTCATGTTTATGTTCCTCAAGGAGCAGGTAGCACCAAACATGACAAAACAGGGAACTATCTTAACAGGTTGCCATATAAAACGCACAGATCCACTGTGAATGTTGAACAATTTGAACAATAAAACGTCAAACCGCTTTAAATCAGATAAATCAATGCGTTTGGTTTTAATAAAGTAAATAAAAAAAGGTCAGCTCGTCCCGTTTTTGTCCCGTCGCGCACCCCTCCCCTGCGCGGCGGAATGGAACAGTCCTGGAGTGACGTCACCGCCTGGGCAGGCTGATAGTGAAGGGGAGATTGTTGTTTTGCTGAAGGTTTTGGTTGGTTTGGAGCTGCCGCGTCGTGAGAAACACTAATTTAACACTTACAAGTTAAAGTAGAGCTTAAAGAAAGATATTTTCGCTCTTTTAATTAACCCTGAGTCGTTTTCGTAACCCGCAGCATCGAGCGAAAAGAGCCCGGAAACATGAAATGGATGTTCAAAGAGGATCACTCCTTGGGTAAGGGAGGTGTTTTTAATGGTGGAGTGATGGAAAAAAAGAATATGTCCACGCAGATTTGCTTCGGAAATTAAATGTTTGTTTGTTTTTTTATTTGAGTCCAGGAGTAAATAAATTAGGGTTTAATGTCACTTCAGAATATGTGTGATACACCGACTGGCCTGCCCTTCAGGCTTTTGTTAGCTAGAGAAAGGAGGCTTTGTTTTTAAGCTAGCTGACAGGACATACATGTTAAATATCGATGTTAAATATTAATGTCAGCTCATGTAAAAGCTGTTAAGTTGGTCTCTTACTTTACTTTGATCTGTTGGATCGGTGTAGATAAAGAAATCATCGTGTCTTTGTTCTATATTACCACCCAATGACGACGACCTGTTTCAGTGGGGATGGTGGATATTGACACAATAAGCTGCTAAGCCTCAGTTCTACTTTGAGTTACAGTCAATAAAGCTGATATCTGTTTGTTCATGTGGCTAAACATGATGTTTTTCTTTATCTCCACCTGCTATAAACTGGAGGCCTGAGAGGCGTCACCAGGATGAGGGGAAAAATAAAGTTGCTGGCAGAATAATTGCAGGCCTGAAGGCTGGTTTTACCATCTTTTAAGTGTTTTATATTATTTATTCTGTGGCTTCAAACTACGATTCATATCAGTAAACATACCAAGTGTTTACACCAAAGTGACAAATGGCCTGACAAGTTGTCAGAGGCCAAATTGAGTCTTTTTAAACAGCCAAAAGGAACATTTATTTATGAATAAACCTGAGACACAGAAGAAAGCACACCGCTCTTCACATTTATGAATTTTAAACCAAAATATCTGGTGGTTAAACATGTAAAATCACTTATTAATTCACAACCTGAATTAACTTACTGTTGACAGGCTAGCTGATGGTAGCAACTAGTGCTAAAACAAGTCTTTAATGATCTCACATTACATTTAGTTTACATTGATTGTTCACAGTTTAAATTAATTAAGAATTAAATTCTTCTTTAAGGTTTAGAGCGCTTTTAAACATTAAAAGTGTTGAATAAACGGGACAGTTGGCTTTGCTCCACCACAGTGTTATTGTTTTGTGTCACTGTTAAAACTACATTACCCATAATCCATTCTGCTTCATGTGTAGAAAAAAAAGGGCTGTCCCAGTTTCATACTGCTAACTGTATAAAGTATTCACAAGACTGCAACCACTTACTTTTCTCTACACATCTGGCGATCATTTTTTTTCAATCAGACGATTAATAGTGAAAAATGCTCGTCACAATTTTCCCGGAGCTCAAGGTGACGTCTTCATATACCTTGTTTTATCCAACCAGCTGTCCAAAAGCCAAATATAGTCAATTTACAGTCAAACAAAACACTTTTTACTCTTTTAAATCCACAAATGTTTAACATTTTCCATTGATAAATTACTTAAATTATTGGCAATTCTTGTAATGTCAATTAGCTAATCGTATTTCTTTTATCAAGTAATCAGTTGATATCTTATTTTAATCATTTACTTTATGCTTTCAATTTAAATAAAACTCATGTGTCTTCTATCAGTTTGTCTCTGTTTTTGGGTTCAGCACAGATGTATCTGCGCTAGTGTTTGTGTTTTAATTCAGTGAAGGTAGAAGTAATTTCATTTTCATAAGTAACAGTAATTTAATTTCACCTTTTTTTTTCCCAGTAACTGTAACTGATAACATTTATTTTGCAATTGTATTGCGTAATTTATGTGTTACTAGTTACACACAACAGTGCCCACCTGTCATTCAAGGCCACATCCTTAATAGTTAGGGGTTGTATCGAGATCTAGTGTGTTTCCCTTTACATAAATAACGACAATTTGTGCAGAAACATTCACCAAGAAATTAAGTGTTTATTCTCATAATTTTAAAATCTCGTCTTGTCTCGTGAGTTGAGTGTCCCATCACACACCTGTTAATTAAGCAAACTTTAAGCCCTAATATAATTTAAACGGGGGAGATATATATATATATATATATATATATATATATATATACATACACACATTCATCCCCTGTACTGGGGAAATTGGCTTTAGAGACCAGAACCGTGTTTAGTGGCAGGCTGTGTTTATTTCTGCATTGACTCACTCATGGAGCCTCAAGTGGCCATCTGAGGAACTGCAGTGGCTTCGGTTTTTCAGCCACGCTTTGTTAATAACGCATAGAAGAAAGAAACTAAACACAAAGAATAGATGTTGATATGATTTTTATCAATTGGTAGCGATTCTGTTTCTTGTCAGCAAATAATGGTTGATAATGGTTTCCGTGTAGAGGCAGCCGGTACAATAATAATTACACGTATCACACAGTTGATGTGGTGATGTTTTATTCATGGTTAAACGCTGCACACTCGTCTTTTAGTGGCTGGATTGGCGGGTGTTGTGGATTCAGCTGGTCTCAGTGTGTCTTAATCTACAGCAGCTGCCTGCGAGTGTCCCAGCTCAGCCGTCACCTATCGATCGCTGTCCATCACTGGTTGCCCCTCGTGCCTGTACAGAAGAGGAAGTGCAAAGAAGCGTGTGCTTCATGTTGTCAGGTGCAAAACAATCGCATAATTAACACAAATTTTGTCTTTCAGAACATCGATGCGTAGAATCAGCCAAAATCCGCAACAAGTACCCTGACAGGGTCCCGGTGAGTAAAACTTCTGAGATGCTGCAGCTGATTTACGTTGGTTTTGTGATGTGTTGGCTGTAATCGTGTCTGCGACGTGTGTGTGTTATCAGGTGATTGTGGAGAAGGTGTCTGGATCACAGATTGTGGACATCGACAAGAGGAAGTATCTGGTCCCCTCCGACATCACAGTGGCTCAGTTCATGTGGATCATCAGGAAACGCATCCAGCTGCCCTCAGAGAAGGCTATCTTCCTGTTTGTGGATAAGACGGTGCCTCAGTCCAGGTCAGGGCCGGGACACGGGAGGGGGTTTCGTCATGTCACAGGGTCCAGATGCCTAAACAAAAACTCACATGATTTGTAAACAAGCATGTGAACCCACAAACAGACAAGCGGCCAATCGACAGATAATTAATTACCAACTATTTTGATCATTTTCAAGCATAAAATAGCAACAACACAAAAAAAACAGTTCTTAAAAGGTACAATTTGCTGCTTCTTTGGTCGTATTAAACAAGCAATGTGTCTTGCGGTGTGAGAAATAATGATTTTTTACAATTGTCTGACATTTTATACTCAAAAGATCATTAAATCTATTGAGGAATCTAATCAGCAGAGTAGGGCTGGGCACGTTAACACGTTATCGCTTGAATTAATTAACGGCGATAATTATTTTATTGCACTTGTGGGAGAAGTAAGACAGCGCTCCGCGAGTAGCCTAAACGGCAGGCGCTCTGTTGTTGCCTATATAACTTAAGTTGAAATAATAGGCTACATAACTTTACCTGATTTAGCCTTCATCTAGTTTTGCGGGGACACTCTGCCGTGCGAATTCCCTCCTGTTGATGTCCTATTTAGTTAAACAGTAAAGTAGTGTGCTGCGCGTCGCGTACAAAAAGTTCAAGAGAATTCAACTTCGGCGGCGGGCGTGTGCGTGAGGCGAGCACAACCGCGACAGTTTCACGGGAACACGCCCACTTGTCTCTACGCCTTGTGCTCGACCACTTCACCTCACTGTAACAGAGAAACTTGCTACTGAACACAGATTATTCTGCTCCCTGATAAAAGAAGTGTTTCTGCTGATACCTGCCCTAAGAAAACTGGACTTTGGACGTTTTTTAACAAGCTAGATAAAAGGTAACGCCCTGGCAGCGGCAAATAGCTTTGGTTTAATATTTGATTTGATTACATTAATGTTTAAATTGAGACTTTAAAGAAATATTTTATTGCTACTGCGTAAAGGGAATACTGCTGGTAAAAAGCACCTTAATTGTTTAACCACGTTATTGCACTTTTGTGTATATAGCAGTACATTTAAATTAAAAGTGCACAATACACTTTAGAATTCATTATTCAATTTAGCGCATGACAATGCGATTTAAGAATTTTAATCGTTGCCCAGCACTAATTAATAGTTTGTTGAAGCTCTAGTGAAGATCTGGCTGTTACATCCTTGTTCGTTTCCTTTTTAAACAGTCCGTGGTGCAAAAAATGTTATTTAATCATGAGCTTTTCTCTCTAACGCCTGGCGCACACTACAGGATTTTCAAATCTTAAAAACATCGGATACCACAGATTCATTCATCGGCTGTTGCGGGTTTCTGATCGGAGGCTGCTTTTAGAAATTGGGGAGCCTCCGATCCACTTGGTGACGTTAAGATTATGTCTGTAAACCACACTACAGGATGATTTGGGCCGATAATCGGTTCAGACCAGCCTCGACTCGTGAACGCCCTGGAAAATGCCGAGAGGGCGAATCGGACCCAAAATCAGCCCGTTTATCCTCTAGTGTGCGCTCAGCATAAACTAACACCAGATTAAAATATCTTGCTCTGTTTTTAAACTGTATAATTTGATCTGTAGTTTAAAGTGTAAATATCAGTCAGGTGTGTGTTTGAAAAGTCTGGTTCATTAAAAACCAGGTTCTTTGACGAGTTTGAAAGATTAAGTCTTTATAAAACATTATTGCTCATATTCGCTGCACAAGATGATTATCACCATGTTAAACCTCCTCTATCATAAAATGTTGTCGATTTAATCTGCTGATAATGTTCTATATTGATTATTAGTGAAAACACTGAGCACAAAGTGACGTTTTCAGTTTGTCCAAACAACTGCCCAAAACCCAAATATATTATATTTACTATCATATATGACAAAGAAAAGATGTTAATCTGCAAATTTAAGAAGCTTGAACCAGCAAATTGTTGGTATTTTTGCTTGAAGAAAAATAATAATAATGTATAATTTCCTTTTGGAATGATTAATCGATTGATCGTTGCAGCTCTAAAATGACTCCAGATCAAACAGCGGGACTGAGGAAGTAACTTCGTTTGTTTGTGCCTGTAATTGGCTCTGTAACGATCTGCCGTCCCGACAGTCCAGCGTCCGTCATGGTCATTTAGGGTAGTTGAGATAAAACTACAGTCAAATCACATTTATGGCTTTTTATCAACAGGATGTCTTGTTGCAGTTGTCGATGGATAAAGTGGCTCTTTTTAATTTCCCGTGCGGCTCCTTATGTTTGTATTGCCTGTGCTCCTTATTTTTAATTTTTTTTAAGGTAAAACCTGCTCGTATTTGAAAGAAAATAAGTTGATCAAAAGGAGTAAGAAAGTTTTTGTTTTGTTTTGACTGAGAAGACGCTTGTAAAAAAGTAACTAGAGATTGATATGGAAAACACCTCCCAACACAAGAGTTAATGTTTTGTTAGTGCTGCATATTCTGAGCAGGAGCTGCACCCAACACTCCTCCCCGACCAGACAGACATTACTCAGCACTTTCAGCCTGTTTATTTAGCCCCGTCACAGAACAAGTCGGTCAGTTAAAGAAAACAGCTGAGAATTATCCGATTTTTGTCAAATTCAAGTCACCGTTTCATGCTGAACGACTTTCTACTCACGTTCTACCTCTTATAACCTCACTAATCTGTCTTGTGGAGATCAGAAATGTGCCAGAAAGTAAGACATCCAGTATATTTTACATTTGAGGGGATGATTCAGATGTAAAAACGTGCAGTGTTCGATTTGAATACTTTCAATTCATCATCTTCTAATCTCATTGCGCTCTTCTTCAGACCGTACTCTTTTTAATATCATTTACTGAGACCTGATGATTCCCACAGTGAGTGAGCACAAAACTCCCTTTTTAAATGCTGCATTGAAGAGCAGGAACAAGATGATACAGAATATATATATATATATATATATATATGCTGTTCAGTCTGAACAAAATGTTACTGCTCTTTATCTTTATAATATTTATAGTTATTAATTCAATTCAATTCAATTTTATTTATATAGCGCCAAATCACAACAACAGTTATCTCACAGCGCTTTTCATAAAAGAGCAGGTCTAGACCGTACTCTGTGATGATATTTACAGAAGCCCAACAGTTCCCACCAAGAGCAAGCACTAGGCGACAGAGGCAAGGAAAAACTTCCTTTTAAGAGGCAGAAACCTCGAGCAGAACCATGGCTCAGGGTGGGCGGCCATCTGCCTCGACCGGTTGGGGTGAGAGAGAGAGAGAGAGAGAAAGAGAGAGAGAGAGTGAAAGAGAGAGAGAGAGAGAGAGAGAGAGGGATGTAAGGAGAGAGAGAGGGGAGGGAGGCAGCCTACACAATATACACACAGAGGTACAGACAGCGAAGGTAATGTTGCTATAAACTAAATGAAAAATGGTACAGATATTTATAATAGTGTTAATGGTAACCATCGTAATGTTAATGATTATAATAACAATAAGACTAGCAACAATAGTCGTTGCAGTAGAGGGTGTCGAGCAGGAACACGGGGGCAGCAGGCGACCCGCAGCCACAGATCCAGACTCCACAGCTCCAGAGCCAGAAAACCTGCAGGAAGTGATAGGAGGAGAGAGGAGAGGGACGAGAAAGCACAAGACTACCAGAAAGGGGAGAAGTTGTGTTAGTAACATGCAATAATGGGATAAGGTTGCATACAGAGGGAGAGAAAGTAGAGGAGAGAGGAGCTCAGTGCATCATGGGAAATCCCCCGGCAGTCTAGGCCTATAGCAGCATAACTAAGGGATGGTTCAGGACTACCTGAGCCAGCCCTAACTATAAGCTTTATCAAAGAGGAAAGTCTTAAGCCTACTCTTAAATGTGGAGATGGTGTCTGCCTCCTGAACCCAAACTGGAACCTGGTTCCACAGGAGAGGAGCTTGATAGCTGAACGCTCTGGCTCCTAGTCTACTTTTGGAGACTCTAGGAACCACAAGTAACCCTGCATTCTGGGAGCGCAGTGCTCTGGTGGGGTAGTAAGGTACTATGAGCTCTTTAAGATAAGATGGTGCCTGACCATTAAGAGCTTTGTAGGTAAGAAGAATGATTTTAAATTCTATTCTGGATTTTACTGGAAGCCAATGCAAAGAAGCTAAAACAGGAGAAATGTGATCTCTTTTCCTGGTTCCTGTCAGAACACGTGCTGCAGCATTCTGGATCAGCTGAAGAGTCTTAATGGACTTTTTCGAGCAGCCTGATAATAAGGAATTGCAGTAATCCAGCCTAGAAGTAACAAATGCATGGACTAGTTTTTCTGCATCATTTTTAGACAGGATGTTCCTGATTTTCGCAATATTACGTAGGTGAAAAAAGGCGGTCCTTGAAATTTGCTTAATGTGGACTTAAACGACATGTCCTGATCAAAGATAACTCCAAGATTCCTCACAGTGGTGCTGGAGGCCAAGGCGATGCCATCCAGGGAAACTATATCTTTAGATAATGCGTCACGGAGGTGCTTAGGCCCCAGAACAATAACTTCAGTTTTATCTGAGTTTAACATAAGAAAATTACAGCTCATCCAGGTTTTAACATCCTGAAGGCACATTTGAAGTTTAGCTAACTGATGAGTTTCATCTGGCTTGATCGATAGATATAACTGAGTATCATCTGCATAACAATGAAAGCTTATGGAATGTTTCCTGATAATATTGCCTAAAGGAAGCATATATAAAGTGAAGAGGATTGGTCCAAGGACAGATCCTTGAGGAACTCCATGAGTAACTTTGGCGTGCATGGAGGACTCATCGTTAACATGTACAAACTGAAATCGATCTGATAAATAGGACTTAAACCAGCTTAGAGCGGTTCCTTTAATGCCAATGAAATATTCCAGTCTCTGCAATAGGATCTGATGGTCAATGGTATCAAATGCAGCACTAAGATCTAATAAAACCAGTACAGAGACAAGTCCTTTGTCTGATGCAATAAGGAGGTCATTAGTAATTTTCACCAGTGCTGTCTCTGTGCTATGATGAGCTCTAAATCCTGACTGAAAATCCTCAAATAAACTATTGCTCTGTAGAAAGTCACACAGCTGTTTAGCAACTGCTTTCTCCAGAACCTTAGAGAGAAATGGAAGGTTAGATATAGGTCTATAGTTTGATAAAACATCCGGATCAAGTTTGGGCTTTTTCAGAAGAGGTTTAATTACAGCTACTTTAAAGTACTGTGGTACATAGCCTGTTGATAAAGATAGATTGATCATATCTAGTATAGAGGTGCTGACTAAGGGTAAAACATCTTTAAGCAGCCTAGTCGGGATGGGGTCTAAGAGGCAGGTTGATGGTTTAGATGAAGAAATTATTGAAGTTAGTTGGTAAAGATTGAGGGAAGCAAAACAGTCTAAACATGTATCTGGTTCTACAGCTGTTTCTAAGGTTCCTGAGTTAGAGATAAGTTGGTGCCAGTTGAGGGCAGGTCTTGGTGAATTTTGTCTCTAATAGCTAGAATTTTATCATTAAAGAAGCTCATGAAGTCGTAACTACTGAGAGCTATGGGAATACTTGGCTCAATAGAGCTGTGACTCTCTGTCAGCCTGGCTACAGTGCTGAAAAGAAACCTGGGGTTGTTCCTATTTTCCTCTATTAATGACGAGTAGTACGCTGCTCTGGCATTACGGAGGGCCTTCCTATAAGTTTTAAGACTATCTTGCCAAATTAAACGAGAATTTTCCACTTTGGTGGAACGCCAATTCCTCTCAAGTTTCCGTGATATTTGCTTTAATTTGCGAGTTTCAGTATTATACCATGGAGCTAACCGTCTTTGTTTTAGTATTTTCTTTTTTAGAGGGGCTACAGAGTCGAGTGTCATTCGCAGCGAGCCAGCAGCACTATCAACAAGATGATCGATTTGGGAGGGACTGAAATTAGCATAGGAGTCCTCCGTTACTTTGTGACTAGATAATGTATTTAGAGCTGATGGAATCGCATCCTTAAATTTAGCTATAGCACTATCAGACAGACATCTTGTATAGAAATTTTTGCCCAATGGCGAGTAGTTCAGCAATACAAACTCAAAAGTTATCAAACAGTGGTCGGATAAAGAGGGATTCTGTGGGAACACCACTAAATGTTCAATTTCAATACCATACACCAAAACAAGGTCAGGGTGTGGTTAAAACAGTGAGTCGGTTCATGAACACTCTGAGAGAAGCCGATGGAATCTAACAAAGAGATAAACGCAGTACTGAAGCTGTCATTCTCAACATCTACATGAATATTAAAATCCCCTACAATAATAACTTTGTCCGTTTTAAGGACTAAAGTTGACAAAAACTCTGCAAATTCAGATAAGAATTCAGAATACGGGCCAGGTGCTCGGTACACTATAACAAAAAGAATTGGTTGCAGTGATTTCCAACTTGGGTGCGAAAGACTAAGAACAAGACTTTCAAATGAGTTATAGTTTAGTTTAGGTTTAGAGCTGATTAATAGGCTAGAGTCGAAGATAGCTGCAACTCCACCTCCTCGGCCTGTGCCTCGAGGAATGTGAGTATTAATATGACTGGGAGGGGTGGATTCATTTAGGCTAACATATTCTCCATCACCCAGCCAGGTTTCAGTAAGACCAAATAAATCAATATCATAATCTGATATTAGTTCATTTACTAGTACACCTTTAGAAGAGAGAGATCTGATGTTTAAGAGTCCACATTTAACTCTCCTATTTGTTTGCACTATTGCTCTTGTGGTTTTAATTTTTATAAGGTTTTTATGCACAGCTCCTCTTCTGTTTACCTTTTTAAATAATTTCGATGGTCGGGGGACAGACACCGTCACTATAGGATTTTCACTAAGTAACTCCTGAAATGGAGGAGCAGAGAAGTGTGTTAGACTGCGACTCTGCGTAGGGTTTTGGGTGGGTAACTGCTGAAAAAGAAGGGCAGAGAAGTGTGTTAAACTGCGACTCTGCCTCCTGGTCTCAACTCTGGGTTGTCATGGATTTGGTCCACTAATAAACTTGGCCAGATTTCTAGAAATGAGAGCTGCTCCTTCCCAAGTGGGATGGATGCCGTCTCTCCGGATCAGACCAGGTCTTCCCCAGAAAGTCTGCCAATGATCAACAAAGCCCACATCGTTTGCTGGACACCACCTCGACAACCAGCGGCGGAATGACGACATGCGGCTATACATGTCATCACTGGTCAGATTTGGCAGGGGTCCAGAGAAAACTACGGTGTCCGACATTGTTTTTGCATATGTACACACCGACTCAACATTAATCTTAGTGACCTCCGATTGGCGTAACCGGGAGTCATTACCGCCGACGTGAATAACAATCTTACTGTATTTACGTTTATCCTTAGCCAGCAGTTTCAAATAAGACTCAATGTCGCCCGCTCTGGCCCCAGGGATGCACTTAACTATGGCCGCTGGCTTCGCTAAATTCACGTTTCTCAAAATGGAGCTGCCAATGATCAGAGTTGGTTTCTCAGCGGGTGTGTCGCTGAGTGGGGAAAATCTGTTAGAAACGTGAACAGGTTGATGATGCCCCGTGGACTTTGAATGCTTACTATTCCTCCTTCGGACAGTCACCCAGCCCCCCTTTCCTGGCTGCACAGGGGATGCCGGAGGACGGCTACCAGAGGCTAACTCAGGCCGTTCCGCACCGACTACCGGGGACTGGCTAGCTACAGTAGCTAAAGACTGATCTACCAGGGTGCGGAGCCGGACTTCTAACTCACTGAGCCTCGCCTCCATGTCTATAAATAAACTACACTTATTACATGTACCATTACCGCTAAAGGAGGCAGAGGAGTAACTAAACATCTGACACACCGAGCAGGAGAAAGTAGGAGAGAGAGAGGGAGAAGGAGAAGCCATCGCTAGCTGCTAAGCTAAAGTCGCTAACGGCTAAGCTAAAGTACTGTAGCGTCAGTTACCAAAACTTTAGAACAACTATGAGATTGAACAGCAGTCACTAAAAGATGGAAAGAACTGTGAGTGCTTAGGCAAAATTACTGTAAAGAATAAGTGTTTAGCGAACAGTTGGCCGCTGTAATCAAACAAATGTAACTGTTATTTAGCGAGAGCAACAACACGGTACCAACACACAAGCACCGGAAACGGAAATGAGTCGACACGCTTACCGCAATACGTCAGCACGTCATGCAGTCCCAACCCACCATGTTAGTTATTCTGGTCTGAACGGACTGAATTTGTTGCAGCTTTTCTGGAAAAAAAGTTGGTTGAATTTGTCATCATGGAGAAATTATTATTCTTTAAGATCCCACTCATATTTATTTAAAAAATCGTCAAGATTTAGAGAAGACGATTTTATTTAGGTAAATATGAGCAGTTTGTTAATATTCCTGTAGGGCTGCAACTAACAATTATTTTCATCTTGATTAATCAATTAGTTGTTGTCTATAAAATGTCATAAAATTAGAAAAAATATGCCCAAAAAGACGTCCACGAATGTCTTTTTGTCCACAACCCAAAGAAATGAATTTACCTGTGAGGAAACCAGAATATTTTTACATTTACAAACAAGATGATACAGAATATAATCAGATAATGACATCTAATCTACGCCGTAGCCGCAAGAACTGTGATTGGTTAGCTTGACAGCATCATATATCCAAGCTATTTTTTTTTTAACTGTCACAATCCCCTCGAAAATGACTTGTGTCACTATCAGAATTTGATCCCTTCTATTGATCACATTTGAAAAGTGTAGAAGAGCCACACAATTACGGTTTTACCTCTGTGGTTACCCGATCTGTGCCGCCTGTCCGATCGGGGTCGGGCCCCCTTCACCCCTCATGAGTTTGCATCCCTGATCCATAAGCTAACGTTTTAATATCAGAAAGACACCAACGTCAACCTTGTTCAGCATTTCAACATTGACCGCTTGTTAAAGCTGCCTGTTGAAATAAAGACACGTGTTGTGACCGTTCTAGTGCTTTGCATTATGGGACACAATACGCACGATCAAGACTGATCCCAATACTGAAGTTTTCTTTCCGAGTCTGTACAAGATGCGGCTATTTTTGGCGCACTGCGTACTAAATATATAGGCTGATACTTGGCTAACATGTCAGTCCGTCTCTCAAACACTGTCTGACTTCCTGTCTGTGGCTCTCAGCTCCGAGCCAATTGGTTCCTACTGAAGACGTAGATCTATTTTAAAAAAAACACCTCACAAATATATAGTTAAAAATGTTTTTTTAAAGGCTCAGTAATTTCCTTTAAACAGCTGCTCACTCTAGTTTTCATTAAACAAACAGGAGGGAATAGTGCATTTATTGGGGACTATTGTCAGCCGCGGATGAATCTACATGTGGTGTCTGTTTTTTATTTTACTTGTGTTTTATTATGTACCAGATATAGCTAAAAACTAACGCCAGGAATCCACCGACTCGATAATAACGCTGCGTCCTCACTCCCGTTTCAGCATCACCATGGGGCAGCTGTACGAGAAGGAGAAGGACGAGGACGGCTTTTTATACGTGGCTTACAGCGGGGAGAACACCTTTGGTTTTTAAAACAAGAAGCCGCCCGTCGTGACCGGCCTTACCTGGCGGCGCCGCAAAGCCACACTGACGCCCACCCACATCTAATCACAGCCCTCGCCCGGCCCCTGGAGACACCGCGGGAAGCCCCAGAGAGATACAGTGACATGAACGTTACAGGAAGATGTACTGACGGCTCACCTGACGGGATAAACATTAATGAGTGCACCGGTGTGTTTGTTCTGGCCCATGTTGCACCAGTTCTCTAAAGATTCATAGATTAAGTTGTGTATAGTGTGTTACATTTCTATTATTATTATTGTTTGTTTGTTTGTTGTGATTTAAGTTTTCTTATCTTTTTTTTATTTTATTTAGGCGGAACATTGATTTGTTTTCTCCACATTTTAAATGATATTGCGTGAATGAGTTTTGCTTTTACTTGATGCTTTTCCTCTTTGAAGACGATATTTAAAAGGACTTTTAATTTAATTATTTCAATTGAATTAGGATGACCTAACCAATAAAATGATTAAAATGAATCCTGGTCGTTTGTTTGTTTCAGCTCTATATTTAATGTACATTTGGGTTTGATAAGTTTCAACGTGACATTTTACAGAAAACAGCTGATTTGTTGCTTTCCCAGTTTACTGTGGAACAACTTTACTGGCAGCGGCAGAAAAAAACTAAGCAAAATTACAAAAGAACTTGAGTACAGTTCTCAGTATTTCCATATTCTACTACTAATATCTTAGAGGTAAATATAATAATGTGAAGTTGTTAACTCATCACTTGATCCCTGAAAATTGTATATCTCTGAAATTTACATTAGTAAAATATGTCAAATAAACTATGTCTTTACCTTTTGTTATTCTGCAGCAGTGGAAGTAATTTAAGCCTTTAAAGTTGATGAAAAAACTAAACAATTCTGCAGTAAACAGCTTGGAACAGCGTGTTCGTACACCCTCAGAAGCTTTATTTGTACAAGATTATATATAATATGACAGAAGACAGCATTGGTTGATCATACAGTGAAACAAAACCCCTTCATTTGGTGACGGCCATTTTATTAGGTACACCTTGCTAGTACCAGGTTGGACCCCTTTTTGCCTTCAGAACTGTCTTAATTCTTCATGGCACACTTTCAACAAGGTGTTGGAAACATTCCCCAGAGACTTTGGTCCATATTGACGTGATAGCATCACGCAGTTGCTGCAGATTTGTCGGCTGCACATCCATGATGCGAATCTCCCGTTCCACCGCGTCCCAAAGGTGCTCTGTTGGATTGAGATCTGGTGACTGTGGAGGCCGCTGGAGTTCAGTGAACTCATTGTCATGTTCAAGAAACCAGTCTGAGGTGATTTGAGCTTTGTGACATGGTGCATTATCCTGCTGGAAGGGGCCATCAGAAGATGGTACACTGTGGTCATAAAGGGACGGACATGGTCAGAAACAATACTCAGGTAGGCTGTCGCGTTTAAAAACAATACTCAGTTGGTACTAAGGGGCCCAAACTGTGCCAAGAAAATCTCCCCCACACCATTACACCACCAGCAGCAGCCTGAACCGTTGATACAAGGCAGGATGGATCCGTGCTTTCATTTCCAGTCTTCTGTTGTCCAGTGTTGGTGAGTCTGAGTGAACTGTAGTTTCCTGTTCCCAGCTGACAGCAGTGGCACCCGGTGTGGTCTTCTGCTGCTGTAGCCCGTCTGCTTCCAGGTTCCACGTGTTGTGCGTTCAGAGATGGTGTTCTGCATACCTTGTGTGGCAGGATGAGGTTTTTTTTTTCCCTCCCTCTTACCTGTGCACGGGAAGGTGCACCAGCACACCTGGGGCTCATCCCCTTGACTGGGAGAGGTGGAGAGCTGCCTTTTGTAAGCCTGTGTGGTTTTTCTGTCTTCTCCTGTTGGGTGTGGGGACGCGTCTGGGCTGGCGTGCTGCACGTTTATGCCGTTGCCAAAGGTTGTTAGTTTACTGCGGAGTGAGCAGACTTTGTTTCGGCCTTGGATATTTCCCGTGTGGACAGATGAATACCTGGGCTGCTGGCGTTGGGTGCCTCGTTGGGTGCTGTGTGGTTGCGCGGATTGCTTGCCCCCCTGCCGGGGTCTGAGGGTGGCGTGTCCCGTAAAGCGCGGGACCGAGTTCCAGCCGTGTGCATGCTGCTGTCGAGGCTGCTGGATGCCACAGTTATCTAAGAGGTTAACACTCCCCGGCGCGTTTCTCCTCCCTGTTCTGGATATCGGTATAAAACTTTGCTGTGTATTGATACAGTGTTTGGATATATGACTGCCCTGGATGCACAGAACTGGTTTGGAGTGATTGAGTATATTGCATGTGGGTTTTTTTTTTTTTTCTTTGTTTGATTTTGATCCTTTAATTACGCATGCGGGTTTGTTGATTTGATTGGTGTTTTGTTTTTTTTCTCATAAGCATTACATATATTTTTAATAGAGCAGGTGTTGCTATTTATTATGACAAAAGGAAAAATAAAATTGTGTGTATATATATATTTTTTTTATAATTACTTGATTGTCTCTGCCCCCTAATTTTGATAAAACGATCTGTGTGCTTTAAGGGTCTTGGGCCTATCCCAAGTGGCGTTGTCGGACACTCTCTTCCCGAGTGTTATAGACCACTCGTTTCTGCCACACTTGGTTGTAACGAGTGGTTATTTGAGTTACTGTTGCCTTTCTGTCATCTGGAACCAGTCGGCCCTTTCTCCTTTGACCTCTGACATCAACAAGGCATTTTCGCCCACACAACTGCAGCTCACTGGATATTCTCTCTTTTTCAGACCATTCTCTGTAAACCCTAGAGATGGTTGTGGTGAAAATCCCAGTAGATCAGCACTTTTAAAAAGAAGCCTACATTTTTGTTTTTTGTGGAGGATCCAAATATCAACCAAATAAACTTACTTCGCAGTAAAATATTACAACAATTAGACATATTAAAGTTATGGAAAACATGGTTGGGCTTTGTTCTTTGTATCTCGACTTTTATTTACCTTAGTTCCTCTACTGATGGGTGTCCACATACTTTTGGCCATCCATCTCTCCCTGTCACCGCAATGAAGTCAGCCACTAGGTGGTAGCTTAATAAAGGATCTGAAGGGTTGCAGAGACTGGGTATGGTTGTAACACTTTTTGCTTCAGTAACTATAACTCACTGAATTTTTTAGCTAGAGTTCTCAAATTTTATACAAAGTACCCAAATTTGTTCACTACAAATGGCACCAATTCAATCCTCTACAAGAATATCACAGACCTCATGAGTTGATGTCAAATGCATTCTGTGCCCTTGTTACAACCCACCCCACCCCTGTCAGGCAATGTTTAGTTAGCTTTATTAACATAGTGGTTTGAAATTAGAAAGGAAAAAATGCATCACATTTTTTTTTTCCACTTTTGTTGCCTGAGAAACTACATTTCAATCTAATATAAGTCAAACAATTTTATCTACAATAGTATAGATACTAAACAAAAATAGTCTTAGTTAAAAAATTTACTTACTGATACTCTGATCTCAAAATCAGTTTTTTGTCTATATATTCTGAATGCACCTCTTTCCAGACTTGATAACCAAAACGCCAGAACGGGGAGGATGTAGGTAAATACTGAAATGATCACCTCGCTCCTATCTTATCTCTAATTGGTGGAATTGGTGTTGTTATAATACCCGGTCTCCTCTGCTCATACAGTACAAACAGTATTTGTTCATGAAATGAGATTAATTTAAGTTTGCTAAACTACAACTGAAGTCACATTTAGTCAACTTTTTTTTATTTAAAAAAATATATATTAATGCAAAACAGTGACGGACAGGTTTTTTACATTCCTTGCTACGGGAAGTCTACAGGATGTCAGATGTTTATTGCACACTGCTGTGCGAAGTGTGAAAACAGAAAACACAAACAGCGTTCTGTTTTTATGCACCAACGTCTTGGAACAGACTTCCTTTACAAACAAGAGAGGCTTCCTCTCGACATAGATTTAAGAAGCAGCTTCTTTTAAAGCTTTGCTTTTAACTAATTAAACACACTTTTAATTTTGTATTTATTTGATTTTATAGCTCTGTCTGCTATTTCTCTTTTCAGTTTAATACCTGTTTTTGTGCATTCTGTGAAAGTGCTCATGAATGTGAAGCACTTTGAGCTGCATTTTGTATGTGACAGGTGCTATTAATATCATTATATTTATATATATATATTCCATTTATTTATTCTCATAAATTTTATGTTTTATTTTCTTCTTCTGTGCGGCCACATCGGTTTTAGCACTTTCTCTTGTTTTGCTTGCATTTAACTGATCTTTCCACATTTTTCATCTGCTTCTTGTTTCTCATCTGTTTTTGTTTACAAGTAAAGCACTTTAAAGGGCTGTACAAATAAATGTATATATTATATTATTATATATAATATTATTATTAGTTTAAAATCTGAAATTCTGCATATATCACAGTTTCTGGGTAATAACACTAAAGGCATCGATTACTGGAAGTCGTCACATTTCAAGGTTCAAAGAAGAAGATCAGGGAAATGTAAATAACAATCTGCTGTTTATTTTTGATGCCGCTGAAGTTTTCTCCAGAGCGTGAATGAGGAACTACTGTGAAACACTAAATACATTACAGAATACGTATGTGTTTAGTTTTTTTTCTGAATGCAAACTAAAAGTTTAAACCTCAAAGTCTATTCAGTGTTTCCTAAATCCTCTTTTAGTAACATGAAGTAATGATGGGGTTTTTTTTATTAAAGAGAATTAAAGGGGAATGAGACCCAGTTGGTCACCTGATCTGGTCAGCATCGAGTCCTGACCATAGGTCCTGACAGATCTGTCAGCTCAGAACTTTATGAAATGCACTATCACTGCAAAAGTTTCTATCTCAGTAGTTTTCCTATTTTCACTTCCTCGTATCCCCTCAACAGTCTTTCTACGAACACGCTGTATACTTGGTAGTGAACAGCCAAAACTTCCCTCATGTCAGATTAAGAAGGAACAAGCTATCTTCCTCATATTTAAAATCGAGTCTGATTTCTTTGATCATGAACTTCTCCTTCATAAATCGTAAGTCATTTGAATTTTCCTCTTTTATTTAAAGATGTCAG